TGACAACATAGAATCCACCAACAGTTTAAGCATACCAATTACATTTAGAATCATATAATGGTGAAGCCCAAACTATTTATTTAATTGCCTTTATCATTTTATTTATATATCTAGGTTAAATAATAAATATATATCAGAAGTACTTAATAAATTCTCAAAATTTTACAGTGCCTTACTAATGCTATCAAAGGACTACTATAAAAATTTCATGTCATTTTACCAAGTAGAACATCCTATGCAAAAATGACAAGGCAGCAAGGCTTGAAATAGCATAAATGGAAAACCCTATTGAAAAGTGTCAAGCAACAGATTTCCTATTTTTCTTAGCATCCATATGGTACTAGGATTACTTCCAACAAATTTCATGAATTTTGGACTCATAAATAATTTATAAAAATTTATGCAAGGATTGACTATCCATAAAAGAAAAATCTATAACTCTAAATCTACCAATGCACTGGTCCCCAAATTTTTACCAGAGCTCATATATGCTAAGATTAGCTTACCATAAAAATTTCATAATTTTTGGAGCACAGAAACTCTAGATATAAAATAAACAAATTTGAATGCATTCAAAAGCACATTTCAAATCCCTATTTAAATCTCCAAAAATTTCTACTGTACAAGTCAAGAACATATTTTTCCTAAATACTACTCTTCCTAAGGAACACTCACAAATTTATTTCACAATTTTAGGAGCTATCAAACTGAAGATATGAAAATCACAAAATAAATCAAAAACTGGAATCAAATGAGCTATCCTTTAATACTGATGTCGCTGACCGGTGGGACCCGGTGGTCAGGGGACCCCACATGTCATTGACTCGAAGCAGAGCAGCGGCGCTGCTTGGCACTGCGCGGCTGCGGCTCGTCGACGGCGAGCTTCGCCGACGGTGACATCTACGCTACGTGATCTATGCGACCTAGCGAACCTACTGAGCCACATGGCCGGACGTATCGTCGACCTAAGAGCTGACGGCGGCGACCATGGCGGAATGGCGGGGCGGGAAATCGGCGGTACGCCGGTGACGACCCCGGCGGCCCAACCTAAGATGCGGACAAGCAACAAGGAACGCTGGGGGACCTAGCACGCTAGCCAACAGAGCAGGAGAAGGACTGTGGCGGCGTGGCCACGACGACGGGGCTCACGGCGGAACTCCGGCGAAGCTTGCATCTTGCTGCATGGCGCTTACCAAATCTTTGTCGGCGGCACACGGGAGAAAGCAATGGGGTGCTGGGGAGACGGTGGAGCTATGGCGGTGGTGCTTTGAAGCGGCTAAGCGCGCGCTGCGCCACGATTATGGCGGCGACGGCGGAGCTGCGAGAGCTCGGCGGGCGCTTCTGCGCGAGGAAGAAAGGCCGAGGCGGCGAAAATGGAGCGCTTGGTGGGTGCGGGCGAAGGCATGATGATGAAGGCACGCCAGCGCTGCCGTGGCTCTTGCGACGACAGACCGGCGGCGACGCTACGCGCCGATTCACACGCCACGCCAGCGGGCAAAGCTCTCGCTACGGCCGGCCACCAAACGCAGCGATTCGATTCGTCAGACAAGCAATCGCTCATGCCTGACAGCGCGGTTTGCTGATGTTCGTTCACTTAAACCGTGCAGCAAAATCGAAATCCGTCAACAACAAACTTGTAGATCTAAGTACCATCTCCAACTCTTGTTAAGGCAGCATACTCTAATTCGCAACATAAACCGAGTAAAATCATCCCCAAAGTGAGCACATCGATTGATTCGGTGAACCTAGACTTAGAAAAATTCGTTAAGTGTTGAAAGTTGGATTTTGCTGGTTTTTGTGGGACCCATTCAAGCATGTTAGAAGCTAAATCAGTCAATGACCCAAAAATAAAAGTTGTTCCTTATGTCAAACACTACAACTTTGCTTTAGTGATCTCCTCCATGCAAGGTCTCTAACACCTAGTTCAACTTTGGTCAAACATGTCACTTTTGAAAGATGAAACACATCAAAGCATGGCTTAATGACCAAACTAGCCCTAGCCCTAAATACCAAAGTTGTTCATGATGATACCCTAAGCATGTTTAAGCAATTTGCAAGGTCATTTAAGCATTTCATGTAGTAGTCACTCATAGAGCTATTTAAAGTAATCACATGAAATATGCCTTAAAGACTTGACCATGGAAAAATGACATTCATGATCTATGTTCCATTTGTGAACCTAAGCATTGCCAAAATATTTTGGTGACTCAAATCTACCAAGTACATGTTTACATTCATGATCATTTGCATATGTACAAAGAAACATGCAAAAACAAGCAAACGTTGCATATGTTTCAAGAAACACGAGATAACAAGCAATGTTTCATATGTTTCCATCAAATGTTTCAATTGTAAATGATGATTTATGAATGCTTGATGCTCATGCTCATGTCATGCAAGTCAAGTTATGCAAGGCTAACACCCGAGGTGTTACAGTTATTTCCAGGGGTACAGCTTTGACATAAAACTTACACACATATAGAGCACGGATATATGTATAAAATGGTAGAATAGAAGCTAGTAGTTCAACTAAAAGCAATAAATATGGATAAAATTAATCGTTATCCAATGGGTATGGATAAGATTAGGGATGGTGAGAAATAGATAATGGTGGTATGGGTTTGAATCGTGGACAAGCATGAACTTGATCAATAGCTTCTAGGTATTAGGTTTATTAAAACTTGCTCAGGTTTCCTCGTATGAGAACATTGGAAACATTGGTTGCTGAAATATGTTGAACTGTTGATGTATGTTTTGTAAAAAAGACATCAAGCTTTTTAGAAACTAACGTGCGGTTTACTTTGGGCCTGTTCGGCAGGACTGAAAAATAAGTTAAAATACTGTTCTGGCTGATTGTTGCGAGAGAAAAATACAGTTCTGTCTGGAAATACTGTTCACGTGAGTTCATGAGTGGGCTGGCTGGCCAGCCAGCCAGCCGAACAGCCTCTTTACTTGGTTCGATGCCGCTGCCACCTCCCACGTATCGCCACACGACCCTCTTGGCTCGCCATCATCGCTCCTCAACATGCACGATTATTAACTTTTCACCATTATTAGGATTGTCACCTCCTCGAATAACAACTTTACTATTACCCTTACATTTTTGCAAGCATAGAGAGAAAAAGTTTACAAATTTACCATATTTTAGCACGCAGCGGGTCACGTGAAATATCCATCCTGACCCTCCCCTCTTCCTGATCCACTCGTCTGCTTGCCCCATTCTCCCAGATGAACGCCATCTTCCGTGGGTGGTGAAAATGATTGATAAGTTGCTACCTGCCATTTGCATCTCACTACCTTAGTACGTACTGTACCTTAGTATTTGTTTGCTGTCATTGTGACCTTTGATTGGTGTTTCCCATTTATGTAAATGCCATTGGGGATTTCTCGGGATGCTCCCTCTTCTATTTATCGCCTAATATTTTTTTGTTTTGATTTTTTTCAATGCCTATAAATTATGACCGAGATATTTTTATGGTATATTTAGTCTGCATATTGATGCAACTTAATTACTTATGGTATGATTTAAAAATAATATTATTCCACATTTTAGTGGGAATTTTATTACTCTTGAACAATTCTGCAAAATCATTAGTGCTCAGTTTTCTTAAATTTATATTTATCGTTACATATGCACCTTTTTTCAAATACAAAGTTACATTAGTTTGTTTTGTTGTTCCAAGAACCTTCATGCGTATAGTAATGACATATGGATGACATTTGCTTCACTTTTGACATTGCCTATGGTTTCTTCTTAATTATGTTTTACCTTCTCCTGTAGTTTTGTGCAAACCTCAAAATGCTAGCTTTGGGGCCATAAAGGAGTTATTGGATGATGACATCGACGATGAGCAGGAGGCACAAAAGATGGGGTGGAAGTGGAAGACTGTCCAATAAGAAGCTGGAGCACATGATGAAGACAGCATACCTCAAAGCCAATCTGAACAGGCCTGATTGTAGAGCTGCTTGTGATTTTGTTTGACAACTGTGTATACAATATTATTATAGTTATATGTTACCGAGATTAAGTTTTGTTCGGCTAATATTATGTAATATTACTCTTGGATATATTTAATAACAAACAATGGCGAATCGGATTTTGTAAACGATCCTTAAAACAATATTTGCATATTTACGTTTTTTAGAAAATAAAGCATTATGATTTATATCAATATCAATGTATGAAGCAATTCTTTGATGAACCCGTTGAAATTAAGACCGTGGACAAGGTGCCCTTGGGCCGAGATGTTCTAGTAGGAATGTATATTTAACTTTTTTTTATACGATGCATGTTGTTTGATTATTGGTGTGTATTATGTGCCTGTGGACTTGTGATGCCGTATTGTTCTCTTGTTTCTTTGTGCGAGTTGAAAATATAAGCTATCTTTCTCGCGTGAAAAGGAACGATGAGACATCTCTGTTTTACGAAAAGGTTCAGAGTTGCAGGATGGATCAAGCAAAGTCGTGGACTTTGATTCCCGTAAGACCATGAGATCTTAAGCAAGGCGAGGTCAAACTGATAGGCCGTAGCCTCATTATTAAGAAAGGTAACCAAAGTTGTGGATGGTAATCTTAGGCCAGTCTCAATGCAGATTTCACAGGGGTGTCATGCACATTAATTAGATGCCACGTCAGAAAAAAAATAGAATCTGTGAATGAAACCGGAGGAGAGAGAACGAGTTCGTGTCGTGGCCACGAAACGACCCAGCGCAGTTACCTAGAGCTCGGTAACCGGACGACACCACCATTGAGGGGAAAAATTTCATTCCATGGATCCCGTGCTCCAGTCGGCGCCGGAATTCCTCGTCTCCGCGCCATTCCTCTCCATCTCCCGCGCGCCAGTCCTCCCAATCTCCCGCGCGCCGGTCCTCCCCATCTCCCGCGCGCCGGTCCTCCCCATCTCCCGCGCTTTCTTCTTCCGCGCGCTGCCTTTTCTCCGTCCCCGTGCGCATCATCTTCGCCGCTCCTGCCGCCGCCACCGCTGGTGCCTATCTAGAGCCATGGATGGCGGACGCCGGAGCTCTGGGCAGCGCAGCAAAGGAGGGAAAGGGCGCAGCGGCAGCCGCCTTGGAATGAAGACGGCGTTCTCTACTTCGTCGGCGCCCCCTCCAGCTTCGTCTTCGCCGCTGATTCCCCTCTCTGCGCCACCGCCCCCTACAGCTCCGCCGCCCCCTACAGCTTCGTCCCTCTCTCCGGCGAACTCTTCCCCTGCGCCCGCCCCTGTGCCGACTTCATCCCCTTCTCTGCAAGGAGCGGCCAGTCTTGCCCGATTCCAACAGAAGGGGGGGGATTGGGGGCCATGCCCTCAAATTTTCAATCTGAAGAAGGAAATCGTCAAGCACAAAATTTATGGTATGTTTTCATTTCAATCTATGAAAGCATTTGTGTGTGTATAAATCGATCTGCTAGTTTTTTGAATAAATTACAAATGGATGTGTATGTGTGTGCTAGTGAATACAGTTAGCTTACTAGAGCAGTAATGTAGATAAAAATATTCACTTGAGTATATAAAAAAATTCATTTGAGTGAATTGTAGATTACTAGTATTTGATGATGGTCTGAGATGCTTAAATTTCTCTAGTAATGAATGAAGTCATAATTTTATATTGCTAAAACAATTATATTGCTGAAATTGATATCAACACTCTATTTACAGTAAGGCATTAAGTTTATCAGCTAGTCATGCATCTCAATCTACCAATTATTATTGAGACATGATGAGTAGAACTGTAGTTGGAATAATGTTAGTTATCTGCATCAACACCTGTAGACCTGTGAGTGAATGAGCATCCACCTGTAGACTCAATTGAGACACCTATGGATATTGTTTCATCAAATAAATAGAACTGTAGTTGAAATAATGTTGTTTTATCTGTTGTAAAAATGTCAGGGCTGTTTATCCACCAGGTGGTTTTATGAATTTTCTTCAACGACCTCAGTTTACGCCACACCCACACATAGGAGAAAATTTTCATTTTGTTGGTCAGACCATGAGCTTGAACCCAATATCCCCACCACCACCAAGTGTCCATGCAACAGTAACATCCCAAGCTGTGAAACAAGGCACTTTAGCAAAGGAGACAGTGATTGTGGACAATGATGAAGGGGATAATAGTGAGGCAAATAGGACAGTGAATAAAAGATATTGGACTCATGACGAGGAAGAAAGACTGGTAATCACTTATTAGTTTTGTTTATTTTCCTTTGTAGGGTAGTGTTTGGTACAAGTCACTGATTTGTTCATATATTTTTTTTATTTGCATTTTGTAGGCCAGTGCTTGGTTGAATGCTAGTAAAGATCCAGTTAAGGGTAATGACAAGAAATTTGAAACATTTTGGAAGGAAGTGACTGATAACTTTAACAAGAAAGGGAATGGGAAGCGAAGAAGGGAAATAAACCAATTGAAGGTTCACTGGTCACGCCTCAAGTCATCAATCACTGATTTCAATGACGCTTGGACTAAGGTAACTCAAATGTATACAAGCGGATACTCGGATGACATGCTAGAGGAAGAGGCACAGAAAATGTATGAAACCAGATTTGGAAAGCGCTTTTCGTTGGTGCATTGGTGGAAGGTATTAAAAGAGGAGCCCAAATGGTGTGCTCAGTTTCAGGAAACAGAGAAAGAGAAGACTGAGATAGTTGATGTTCCAGAAGGACAATGCCGTCCCATCGGTAGAGAAGCAGCAAAGGCTGAGCGTAGTGGAAAGCGCAAGAAGGATAATGTTATGGATGGAATTGTCATCCTTGGGGACAATATTGATAAAATTATTAAGGTGCAGCAAGATCGAAAGGTGGAGTGCGAGAAGGTTACTGACGCACAAATTCAGATAGCAAATGCAAATTTGAAGGCAGCAAAGGAGCAAAAGGAAGCAAAGATGTTTGAGGTCTACAATTCCCTGCTCAATCAAGATACAAGTCACATGACTGCAGATCAAAAGATCAAAAGGCTTTTATTTATGGAAAGTGTGCTATCTGCCAATATGTTAATGCATCTATATGTGTGAATGCATCCCTATATGTGAATGCAACCCTATATGCAGTACTATGTGTGAATGCTGCAGTACTATGTGTGAATGCAGCCCTATATGTAGTCCTATATATGAATGCAGCCCTATATGTGTGAATGCAGCCCTATATGTGAATGCAACCCTATATGCAGTACTATGTGTGAATGCTGCAGTACTATGTGTGAATGCAGCCCTATATGCAGCCCTATATGTGAATGCAGCCCTATTTGTGGCCCTATATGTGTGAATGCAACCCTATATGCAGTACTGTATTTCTCAATGAGCTAAAAGGACAAGCTCCGAGAGTACAGTACACGGTCAATGGGAATCAACACAACACTGGGTATTATCTTGCTGATGGAATATATCCAGAATGGGCAGTATTTGTTAAGTCAATACGACTCCCTATCACTGACAAGGAGAAGTTGTATACACAGGAACAAGAAGGGGCAAGAAAGGATATCGAGAGAGCCTTTGGTGTATTGCAGCGTCGATTTTGCATCTTAAAACGTCCAGCTCGTCTATATGACCGAGATGTACTCCGTGATGTTGTGCTAGCTTGCATCATACTTCACAATATGATAGTTGAAGATGAGAAGGAAGAGGACATTATTGAAGAAAATCTAGATCTAAATGTGGCTCCTAGTTCATCAACCGTTCAAGAACCGGAAAACTCTCCTGATCAATATGTTCCGTTGGAGAGAGTTTTAGAAAAAGATACTTCTATTCGAGATCGATCGGCTCATCATCGACTTAAGAATGATTTGGTGGAACATATTTGGACTAAATTTAGTGGTCGTACACATAGGACTGGAGTTTGAGGTAGAATACATGTAATTATTTTATATATCTGTACAGTTTATATATATGCATGGTGCATTTGTAATTGTCTGAATGCTCATCGTCAATTATTTTGGTTTCTGCAGGGTCCCAATCTAGTCCCAATCTGCCAGTGACAACTTATCTCCATTGTTGTTTGCGAACTAAGGTTAGTTTTGAGAATCTTGATCACTATGTTTATCTTTTTTTAACCACATAGCAGTGTATGTGTATGTGATCATAGGAATGAGCTTCAACCTGAACCTGATTAGTTGGTCAGTGAAATCATGTTAGGCTGGTAGCTAGTTAGTCTTGCTTTGATTAGGCCGGGTACCGGTTAGTGCAATCATGTTCGGCTGTTATGTGTGTGTGATAGTTGTGAGAATTTTCTTCGTAGGTGATTGATCGTGCACCACTATCTTTATTTTTTGCGGGTGAAAGAATCTTTATGAATCCTATGGGTGCATCTCGGCATTGTTGGTTGAATGGTCATCGTCAATTTACCTCCGCTATCTAGCTTAGTTCAGGATTAAAGAATCTATATCGTCCAAGTTATCCTGATGTTCCAGTTATCTGAACTTCACTATGTAATATGCAGTGTTTTCTATCTTTTGAACAGTAGTATGAACTTGTATGAACTGAACAATCGTATGAGCTGAACAATCATATGCAGTGCTTTCTATCTTTAGTTAATCTCAATTATCTTTAGCTAATCGTTGGTTAAGTACTGAACCTGTGACTATGGTCCATGTCAGAAACCTGGTGCTATCTTGCTTGTTATCTGAAGTTATCTACCTTGATATCATGTCAATTTCTACTTCGTGTGAAAACTGAATGTGAATGTGCGTGTGTGAAAACTGAATGTGTATGTGTCACGCAGCATGTGAAAACTGGTGCGTGCGTATATATATGCACATGGAGGCCTTCTCTGAATCTGAATGTGTATGTGAATGTGTGTGTGTGAAATTCAAGTATTGCCTGCTGCTAGAGGCGATGGATGTGTGAAATTCAAGTATTTAGCTACATGATTCATCGGTGCAAATGATCCCAGCAACCTGCAGTAATTAACAGCTTTGCTTAGCATTGGAAACATCAGAGTGAAAGGCCAGCATTGTGGAGGTAGTTTCACGGAGGGTTTCATTTCACTTTTGATGACGTGTTAATTTTGTAAACCGTGCAATGACACTGCCATTGAGACTGGCCTTAAGCAAGGGGAAGTCACACTTAACATAGTAAGACAATTTTAATTTATGACAGTATATTGATTGATTCAGTTTTACATTATGGCTATCCTACTCCTACAGTTTGATGACCTGATTTGAATGTGCAGTTTCAACAATCTAATGTTAGCGAATATAGCTAGCTTGCAGCCAAAAAATCATTTCATTGTTGATTGCCATAAAAATGTTATCTTCATGTTGTGGCCATTCAAATTCAAGAAAAAATTATCACACGTACTATTTAGAAGAAAAAACTTATTCGACAAAGTAAAAGAAGCACGACACGTCCGGTCACCATAGTACATGGGCTACGGCGGCAACTCAACTCGTACCGTCGTACGACACGAATCAGTCCAGCTTGACGGTGGAGAATAGGTAGTGGACGAAGCAGAAGGAGGCGCCGAGTCCGACAGCTCCGGTGGCGAGCATGACGGCGAGAGCCATGAGCAAGGAGTAGCCGACGTAGAGCGCGGCAGAGACGGGCCCGGCGAGGCTGTGCAGCTCGAATACCAGGTAGTAGACGGCGTAGCCCAGGGTGTAGAGCGCGACGGAGCCGGAGGCGAAGAAGGCGCGCCACCACCACCGCCAGTCCTCCACGCACAGGCCCATGTACGTGAGCACCACCGACACCTCGGCGCACACCGTCACCAGCAGCGCCAGCACCACCAGAAGGAACCCGAACACGTAGTAGACGCGGCCCAGCCACAGGCTTGACATGATGAAGAAGAGCTCGATGAACAGCGTCCCGAACGGCAGGGTCCCGGCCACCACCACGAACAACCACGGAGAGCACTGTGCCGCCGGCACCTGCCATGCATCATGCATGTATTTAATTTTGGCAATGTCAGCAGTAACATTCATACCCATGCATGCTCTTCAAAGAAGAAAGAGCGAAGGTTAATTACCTGGCGGGCGACCTTGTTGATCTTGACAGGAAACTCAATGTGGCGAACGCGGGAGGCGAGGAGGCCGCCGACAAGGGTGAGGGGCACGGAGACGAAGAACCACAGGAGGAGGATGACGACGAACAGCAGGAACGGCACGGCTCCGGTGCTTCCGTTGTACCAGAGCACGCAGTTGAGCACGGTGAACACGGCGAACCCGATGCCCGGGAAGGCGAACGACGCGCGCCACGCCACGGACTTCCACCCGTCGGCGTCGCCCTGCCGAACCGTCTTCCAGAGACTCACGGCCGTGTACCCGGCGGCCACGCCTAGGACGAGGTAGAAGCACAGCATGCCGGTGACCAGCGCGCCGCGGCACACGGGCGACATGAACCCGAGCGCGGCGAAGACGATGGTGACCACGCCCATACCCAGGATGCGCACGCCATCGCCGACGAGAACGCAGAGGAGCACCGGGTGGCTGGGCTCCCGGAACACGTCGCCGGCCACGAGCTTCCACCCTGCTAGCTCGTCCGCGTGCGTCCCGGACTCGCTGCCGCCGAGCGCCTCGTACTGCGCGAGGTCGCGCCGCACGGTGCGAAGCAGGATGAGGAGCACGATCACGGCCAGGAACGAGACCACCACGATGGAGTTGAGGATGGAGAACCAGTGCACCTTGGCACCGCCCATCTCGAGGTACGCGTCCCAGCGCGACGGCCACTCGATGCCGCTCTCCACGAAGGCCACCTCGTAGGAGAAGACCAGCGGCCTGTTGTCCTGCACGCGCATGCTCACCACCGACGGGTCGCAGCCGGCGGCTGCCTTGGACGTGATCTCGTCGTACATGGTCTTGTTCTTGACAGCCGCCGCGTCGTGCTCCACGCTGCACGGGACGACCTCGAACCCGACGACCGTGTAGCCGCTGCCCTCCTTGCCGCCGGTGAAGCTGAGCAGATCGGCCCCGTCGGCGGTCGCCATCAAGGTCTCCGCCCTGGTGGTGGTGTTCTGCTTGTTCACCAGCACGGTGAGCTTTATGTGGTTGTACACGTAGTACTCGCCGTCGTCGGCGCGAACACCGACTGGGAAGCCGGTGGACCGGAGGAGCACGTCGGGAGCGACCGGGTTCTTCACGTAGCGCATGACAGGGAGGGTGTCGAGGAGGAGGTTGACCTGGTAGGCGTCATCGATGCGGGACTTGATGAGCTCGGCGGTGCCGGGGGGCAGCGGGTCGGTGCGGCAGAGGAACAAGGGCGTGGCGGTGTTGTTGAGCATGGAGAAACGGTACGGCGACGTCTCGATGCGGTCGCCGAGGAGGAGCTCGCCGAGGCTCTCGGCGGCGTGCCGGGCGCCGTGTTGCGGGGCGCAGAAGGGAAGGGAGTAGTAGGGGTAGGGGAGCTTGGAGGACGGCGAGGTCAGGGAGTTCACCTTGGGGGCAAGGGTGTCGCCGGGGCGGTACCGCTGAGGATAGCTGCCCGGGAGGTAGAATGCAGCGGCCGGAGAGTGCCCGGAATGGATGAAGAGTATGAGTAGGAAGGCAGTGATGGCGGTGGTGGACGTCCAGAGAGAAGCCATGGTTGTGGCCTGTGGCCTTCCACTTCCAGGTGGAGGACAGGAGGAAGCGATCGAGCTGCTGGACTGGAAGGCGATCAGCTGAATGTGTTCTGCATTGCATGGTGTTCTTATGATGACTAGTGCTTTGATTATGAACCAAGAAAACTAGAAAAGTGAACAAAGTTTAATGCAGCTCAACTCAAAGTGCTCAGTAGTCAACTGATGAGACTCTCTTAGAGCGAGGCTAACAGTACAACTGGCTGCTCAGCTAATCTATCAGCCCACTCATATAATAGTTAGCCGACTTACAAAAACGCTTATCTGTCTGACAGAACTTCTTAGTTTTTATGCATAAGCTGGCTGTAAGCTTACAACCCGCTTCTTTTATTTCTCCTCCACGTCAGCAGACAACCCACTTACTACCCCTTATTATACTTGCTCTTCGCGGAATTTGAACATTATATAAATCGAGACCAAGTTAACACTGTGCCATCACTCTTAGCTATGCTCATAAATCGAGCTC